TTTAGGTGGCGACTCTGTATCTGGCAAAGCAGTCCATGTTTGGCACTACTTTTTCAAAAATCTGTTTCTCAAAACGATTTGCCGGATTTGGACTCTTTGGTTCAGATTTAGAACCACAAACAAAAATCGAGTCCGAACTGTAGTAGCGAAGGCCCCTCGTGGGACGCGTCTACACTAGCGACGGGAGACGCCAGTGCAACCACGGTTCCGCTAGATTGCCCAGCAGTAGGAGAACGGGTTGGGATGCTCGGTATCTCGGTGGAGGTGGCAGTGATGAGGTTCTTGATGCGGCTTCTTTTGGTCATCTCTTCTACCTCGGTCAACCGGATAAATGGCACGTCTGGTAATGTGGGATTGGGAGGTGGAGATGGAGCGCGAAGAAAGTCTGTGACTTTACTCCGGCGTGGAGCTGAATATTTGTATGTCGATTTGTAACCGAGGAGCTCGTGGCAATCCCGGTTGCGGTAGCGGAGCACGGTTCTGATAGCTGCTTCATTGGGATAATGATAGTGAGCTTGCAAGGCTTCGATTGCTGCAAAGGAAAGAAGAAAAAATGTCAAGTACAGAATAGTGAAGAAAGATAAATTGACCAAGCAGTTAGCACGGCTTACATGTCTCGCCGAAATTCTTGCTGATAAAGTAGCCCGGTACGTCGGCTGTTTCGTAGTTACCAGACACCTAGAAAAAGTCATCGTCGTGCAAGTCCTTGTCTGGGGTGCCGGTCACTATCTTTTCCTTGCCCGGTCTGATTTTTAAATAGTAGGCAAGGCCATCGCCTGTATGCCCGAGGGTATATTGGCGCAATATCTCGGCTAGTCCTAGGTTGGTTCCTAGCCGGTTGTTCAGTTCGTGGATCTCGTTGATTATTCTGTAAGTGTTGGTTGAGACCTGGGTTGGAGCTAGCCCGGTGCGTCGCAAGAATTCGCAGATCAGCGGGTTAATCAGGAAGCGGAGGCCCTATTTTATAATGGACAACACGGTGAAGGTACACTGGTCTAATCTGCCCTATGAGGTTGTGTCCTCAATGCCGAGCTCTAAATGAACGTCGTCTGGGATACCGTACTCTTCCCAGAACGCGGCCAGGGCAACCGGAGTGTCGACAAGGAAGCGGTAGCACCCCATGTGCAGCCAGCTGGTTTAGCTCGGCTGAGGTGGTTTGGCACAGACTGGTGTTTGATGGCTGCTCGGTCTTTGAGAGCCTCGGTATTGGTCAGTGGTCCCCTTGGACTCTGCAGGAAAAGGAGGGTAATTATAAGTGGAAGCGCAGTCGCACAAAATGACCTTGACTTTAGCTCGGTCAGGAAGAGTGCCAAACCACCTCGGTCGCAAAGGCAAACCAAGGAGCTCGGTCGCTCAAGCGGACCAGATGTCAGCCCGGTCGAGCGGCCAAGTCCTCTGCCTACCTCGGTTTCTATTAAGGTTTTGGCAAACTTGTAATTTGCTCGGTTTTAACGTTTTTTGGGATCAAAAGAAGACCTGGAGCCCGGTCCGCCCCAGATCTTCAGGCGTTCATCAGTGAAGCTGAAGAACAACAAGGAGAACAAGGGACATGGGAGAGTTTTGGGGAGCTATACCCTAAAATCTATGGTTTTAGTGCCCTAAAACAAGAAATATCAAATGAAACAGGCATAAAAAGATTCGAAGAGCTTACCAGTAGAAGCGAATGCAGATCCTTCAGGCACAAACCCAAGAGGGCAAGAGTGGGAGCTACTGAGGGCACTGGAGCTCTGGATCGGCAAGAATGAAGGAGAGTCAGTAAGAATGAAAAGTGAAGGGGAAGAGACGTATAAATGGAAGTGAGAGACCGCCAAAAATTTTGAATGTGAAGGGACGTAACGGTTGGCTGCTCGAGGCCAACAAACGAGTGACGCGTGTCCCAATTAATGGCGGCGTCAGAGTTGAAGAGATAGGAAGGCGAGATGAGATGTCGGCCGAGCAAATCGAGGAACCGAGCACTGGAATTAGTACGGTTGACGACTTGCAAACAACAGACCGAGGAAGGGTCTACCCCGGTCAGATCATGTAATCCCGGTCATGCTTTTGCGGACGGAATTAATGGGCAATTGAGAGGGAGATTTTATGAGCTGGAAATGGGCCATAGTGAGGGCCGAGCAAGTTGAAGGCCGAGCGCGTTTGGGCCAGGATAGCTTTGGGCTTGCATGGAGATAGGGCTGCTCGGCTAAAGCCCAAGACCGAGCTACTTGAACTTGCACAGGTGGGAACCGTGCTACTTGCGTTGCTCGACAGGAAGGCTTGCGCCTTTAGCTCGGCAGGAAGGCCTTAGTTTTACCCGCGTGACCTATTTTGAGCTCGGCTCTACCGGAATGCAACTGAGCTCGGTCGGTATGGAGCTCGACTAGAGAGCATTCGGGCATGCGGCGCAGCACGGCCGTGTGAGGCCGAGGTGATTCCGCCGGTCTGCCGGACTCCGCCAAGATATCCGTTAGATTTGTGCTAACAGATGGGATAGCAGCACCACGTGTCGAGAGACTAATGAGAGTAGATTTGGGGCGCAGAAGGTATTTAAGCGTGTCTGCGCCCCCCATGCTGGGACAGATGATCATTTGGTGAGATATACTTAGACATTCAACCCTCTCCTCTCTCTATCTATCCGTGAGTGTGTGCTAACTTGACCGTCGGAGGGGTTTTCCGGCCACACACCGCCGGGTAGCTCACCGCCGTCGTGTTCGCAGGTCGATCGTACAGACAGGGAGCTTAGAAGAAAGGAGTACGGGCTCGCCGGAATATTTGCTCCCCGTACACTCGCAATTACAATAATAACCTTCGAAAGCCAAAAAAGCCAACAGTATGTCTAACAATTATTGCCATCATCCCAGGTACATCCTTATTTACTAGGTATCCATCAGACTAGAATGCCTTTGCCCCTTGAAATGAAAGAGGAGCCTGTTTATGTGAATGCAAAGCAGTATCATGGAATTTTGCGGCGAAGGCAAATACGAGCTAAGTTGGAACTGGAAAAGAAAGTAATAAAAGCTAGGAAGGTAGGAGTTACAGTTTGTGGTTTCTATTCTTTAAATGAGATAAAAGTGCCATCAATTATTAACTATGAAATACTGCTTGCTATTCGAACCTCAAAACCTTCATTCCCTGACCCTACAAACAAACCACCAAATAAGGTAGAGACAGACTAGTAAAAGGGAAATTTATTAAATAAATTTAGACATGCATTAAGTTATGGGAAAAAAATATTAGTGCAATTTTCACTGTATGTCTGTGTTTCTAGTCTAGGTGTTTGGGGATTGTTTTTATCTTCTCTTATTTTGGTCTTTAGTGAATTTTTTAATAGAATTCCAAAAAGTTTTAGGCTTTTAGATTCTACTCTACCAGACGAATCGAAAATTTAAAAAAAAAAAATTATAGCAAAAAAATGGATTTGGGTTCTTTTTAATATATATATTTTTGAAAATTTTCAAAAAAAAAAAATGTACTTTTTAGATTCGTCTACATAAGGCAGATCGGAAAAGTAGAAAAGTTTGACATTTTTAAAAAAAGGTCACTAGAGACAAAAGTTCAAAAAAGAAAAAAATATGGCTTATTTAGAAGTTTCCAAACATATCGAGTAGTGTGTGTATTCATTTTTATCTCTATCCATAGATTGCTTTTTACTTTGAATGTGGGCTATGATTAGTTATAAGCATTAATCCCTCTCTTGTATGTTTTGGCTCATATATAACTTAAAATTTAAAAAATTGAACAAGTTTCAGCATTTATCTTCAAGTGAAACGAATTTAGAGTTCTACCGTATGAGAAAGTTTGAGAAAGAAAAACACGAATACTGAATTTTCAAATCTGGATAGCAAAAGTTTATACCATCTAAATATTTAACATGATGCAAAAGCACAATCTGTAGGTTGATTTACACCTAAACACATTTTACTGAACCTGAGCCCTTCTGCCATCTCAAAATTATATATCAAATAATATGTTAAAGTGCATAAGACCGACATAAAGTTCTTAACCTTCTGCCAACTCCAAATTATACATGAAATAATATTAGGTTCTTGACTCTTCACACAAATCCACATCCGCAGTGTATTTGGCAAAGGGGTAGTAAGAAAGATGGGTTCCAACTGGACTGAATGGTGAAAGGAGATATAAAGTGTTGAATACACTTTGCATACTTAAAGGTAGAAGTGGCAAACTCAACCCCGAACCCGTGAACCCCCCAATTACACCCATTTGAAACCTGTTGAAATCTATAAACGGTTTTAAATCGGTTGCATCTTGTGAACCCAATTAAAATTGGGTTTAAACGGGTAACCACCTACCACTGCCACCTCCTCCACCATTCGACCACCACCACCACCACCCAATTAAAATTTGCCATATTCAATTTTATTCTGAGGCTATCTGCCTTGGTGGATGCTCTAGCTCCTACTGCCACCATGGGAACAACTGATTAGACTCTTCCCTTCTTCACTCAGTTCTTCCAATTCCAAGCCAGCTACGGTACATAAATTTCCTTATCTTTCAAGCCTTAATAGTTTTATGCATTGCAATTGTATATTCTAATGAATTGTTTTTTGTGTGGTGAGCTGATTGAAAACTACCACACTACATCCACCACACCTCCACCTCTACCTTCACCATTCCACTCCCACCACCACAGCCACCACACCCTCATTCTCCACCACTTTGCCTCCACCACCACCCCTCCACCATCACCACCTCCACCACCACTCCTCCATCACCACCATTAGAAAAAGAGTTAAATACAATAAATGGGCTTGTCGGGTTGATTTTTCCAACCCATACGCAATTCAACCCAACCATTTAAACCCGTTTATTAAATGGGAGGGTTTAAATTGAGTTGTTTTATTGCACAACCTGTTTTGACCCGCCCTTTGCCACCTCTGCTTACAAGGATGTAGCATTATAGTGGAAGTGACATTTTCACATATTGTAGAATGACAGTCACACATGTCAGTTGGATGTTCTATAATATGTACATAGAAAACCATTTAGAATCTACTTGTATCTTGATTGATGTTTATAATTATTTAGTTGCCTTTGTCATTCTTACTGTTATTGTCAAATTGAGATTCAAGTCATGAATTGGAATTTTTTTTTTTCTAGACCTCAAATCAAATTGAATTGTGTGTGATAAATTTGATTACAAGTCAAAAAATACTAGGAAAATGCCATGTAGATCCATAATATAAAATGTAGGATATAGTAATCTTATAAAAACACAAAAATGTAGGATATAATAATCATTAGTAGCAGGAAAATCCGTTTCTTATTTAGAAATGTGATTCCACTCTTCCAAGTGAGAAATCCGTAAGAATTTATCCAAAAAAAAAAAAGAAGTGAGAAATCCGTAAAAAAGTCGCTCCCATTGAAGAATAAACTTGCTCTCAAGAGAGATACAACCTCTCAAATATACAAATCTCATGAAAACAAAAGAAACTTATTTATGTATTACTCAAAAAAGATATTTTGGTATTTCTATTTATATAATATTTATTTATACTTAACAAAATCAGTTCGTAATTGACATCAATCTTCAATAATTGAACACATGTATTAGAACTAAGTAGGGGGAAAAAAAAATTTGTTAGAATATATTTATATATTTAATGTACAAAATATACACACACTCCATTAGGCACTTCCAATCTTTGAAACTTCTATATATCCTTTGTCTCCCACCATGGCCCCTGTTCCCACTCCCACTCTCACACCCATCGCTGCCTCCACTTTGCAACTAGTAATAATTTTCTACTTTTTATAGTGATTAATCACCTTGTCTAGTGAATAAGGCACTTGACATAGTCACCAATAATTTTCTTTAATTTTTCTGCACTTCTTGCAAAGATCCATTAACATTGTTGACTTCTTTGTTCAAGGAGGTGACTCTAGTCTTATGATAAGAAGAGAGTTAGACTTTGTTGCCAATTCAACATGCAATACCTCACCTTAGCAAGAACATATTTTTAGTGTTTTTTTTTATTATTTTTTTAAATCAAAAAGCCTAGAACTCATGAAGCATGGACACTCCAAAACATGTGCCATAGTAGTAGTGTTGGACATAGGACACACTAGTTGATGTGTCCCTTTCCTTCATTAATTAATTTTTTTTTTTACCCCTCTTCTTTAGGCTCGGTTTGTTTACCGGATATAAAGCCCGGATATGGATGTAGGACCGGATATAATATGAGGTGGGTTCCCACATGTTTTTTTGTCTCCCCAGCCCCCAATGTATATCCTCCACCGTCGGACATAGCTCATCTTTCATCCAAACATAAAAAATAATCACTCTCTTCTTATCCTATCCTATATCCTATTTTAACCAAACATAAGTGACCCCACAGTATATATAATCCATCTCATATTCTGCAACATATTATATCTCATCTTTATCCTTAGATATTACATATCTTCTTAAAATTCTTATATCCAATCCAGATAATCAAAAGGGGCCTTAGTGCTTTTGTTGAATGTTGAATATTGAATATTTATTGCTTTTTTGTCTACCATTCTAAAACACATAAATAACACTATCACAAAAGAAACGTACAACAAATAGAGTGAGTACGCAAGCACCCGCCATTACCCCTATGCACATCACTGAACCAAGCCTGAACAAGGTCATAGTCATTTCATTAAACATTAAGTTATAAGCATTCAACAACAACAACAACAAAAAAGGACTAAGTACAGCTTTAAAAGTATCGAGATTAATTTTCCCGCCGTGGAAGGCTATGATTGTCAACACCTGAAGAAGATCAAAACACACATTTGATTTTTGATTTCAACCATAACGAAACTGCATATAAGACAGTGCAGTAATAGCAGATGGACAACCAATATTTACCTGGAACATTACAACCAAAAAAATCCACATACAATGAAAACTTCAACACAAGTGAAGAAACGTCCGATGCTCAACAAAAGAGCTTTTCCCAGTCTGCCAATTCACAAACAAAATTCTAAAAAAGAGAGATGACTTGATGAAAGGAGAAAACAAATTGTAGGGTACAAGTGTTGGATCAAAGAATTATAAGATAAAAAAAGGACAGAATTTCCCTTGCATGCAGTATTGCCAAAAGTATAAATACAGCAATAGCCAAAGATGCCAAAAAAGGAAAAAAGAAAAAAAAAAGACAAAAGACAAATAGTAAAGCTCCACCAAACATGTACCCAAATGGGTAGAATGAAAAGAAGACATACTTTCATCTTTAAGATACAACAATGACTTCATGGGAAGAACAAAAGGAAAGGATGAAGTCAGGCTTTGAGCATAAAATTGGAAACGTTAACAGTTTCAGAGCCAGAAATAAGATTAACTTGTTTAGCCATAACGATTAAAGCTATGGTAGTAGTGGCAACAACAATATGGAAAGGATGAAGTAGAAGAGATCACCAAGCAGTGAATTAGCACTATCATCCTAGTAGTGACCATAACATATTCCTAGGGGAACAAAAGAAGAGAAGTCTTAGTTCCTTGGTATAAGCAATCATTTGTTTTGTGTATAGACCATTCAAATAAAGAAAAACTGCTGCTGCTTACTAATCTTATTCCCAGAAAATGCTTGGCATGTGCACTGCCCCCTTTAGAGCCTGATTGCTAAATTAACATAATATTTATTTCTAAAGGGAGATTAAACAGCAAACCATTTCTTGACTTCAATCTTTTAATCCATAAAAAGTAATGACACTTAACAGGAAGAGCATGGGATCCAGTATAAAAAATTATATGGACAAATAAACTAATTAAATAATGATTGCAACTGCTAATCAATAAAAAATTTAATTGATTAATAAAGTAACAGTCATGTTGTGTGAAATGAAAAATGAATATATATATATATATATAAGAAAATGAAAGATATCCCTAAAGTCTCTAGATGATTGCGAGCTTTTACCAATGACAATAAGTGCTCAGAAGAAACAACAAAAGTTTATGAAAACAGATAAAACTCTGCTACCACATTCAGATTACAAATAACAAAAAAATAATTCAAAAATATTAACAATAACATACACTACTAATCAAAAACATAAAAAGAAAAAAAAAACCCTAAAAAATTACAGATCTGAACGAAAACTTATAGAGAGAGATCTGAACGAAAGCTTACAAATCTGAACGAAAGCAATCAATCGATCAAATCCAGAGAGAAAGAGTCTT